TGGGCTAGGAGAAGTCAATGGGGGAAAAGGGGGAATTATGTAATACTTTCAACAATAAAGATTTAAGAAAGAAAATGTAATACTGTAGTAAAAGTTGTTGGGTCAATGCCAGGGCAAAGTTTAAGGTCTCCAATTTTAGAAGCTTTCAGTTATGTATAAAGTTTGTATAAGACATGGAAACTCACCTATGCGTCAGCTCTTACCATTAATTTGCAGTTACCCAGCACTGAGTAAATGCGGAGGATTCTCTAATTCAGTGGTTCCCAACCTTGGCTGCACATTAGAATCACCTGGGAATCTTTTTAAAATCCTGATTTCTGGGCCTCACACCTCCGGAAATTCTGTTTCTTTGTTATGGGGTGGGGCCACAACATTAGTAACAAAGAAACAGAATTTCCGGAGGATGAGGCCCAGAAATCAGGATTTTAAAAAGATTCCCAGGTGATTCTAATGTGCAGCCAAGGAGGAGAACCACTGACTTAGTCAAAAGAGACCTAAAAAGATAGTCCATTCTGGAGTCCCTAAAGGGTCTGTGTCTTATTCTAGATATTGTCTGGACAAAATTGACTCAAACTCCAGAGGTTGTTCTAGAGTTTACCCAATACAACTAGTCTCGAAACATCAATTTTTGAAAACAGCCACTTGATCTCACTCATTTAGGACATTAAATGTAAGACAGTAACTTTCCAGTGATATTATTTGGCCACAAATGCTTGATTTGACACTACAACATGTTTGGTTTGCCTTATATTTTAAAAGGGTTTTAAAATACAAGTTTGTGTAGAAACCTGGCCAGGAAACCTTGGAGTTGGTTATAGCAATGCACACCAATTTGAAAGCAACCCTTTCGTGAAACTCTATTTAGGGTAGAGCCAATTCCAATGTTAAGAAACTAACATTCACACCCATATGCAAGGGTGTGAATTTTCTTCTAAATGGATTGTTTGCTATTATAGTACTTACAGTCTTTAATTCAGTGGTATGGGGGATTTCCTGAAATATTGCAGAAATACTTTCTTCTTTCACGGCATTCTTCTCACCACCCAAATAACTCTATGTTAGTAAACGGAGATGCTGCTAGATGACATAATATGTATTTTCTTTTTATTGAGATGTAGCCTAGTCTCACTCCCTCTAAGAGGCTTATCCCAACTATTCCATCTAAAGTACCTATCTAGTGACTTTTTCCACATCATCCCTTTCTAATTTTCCAGCACTTGTTTCTACATGATATAGTTCTTGCTTCATTTCTGTTTATTATTTCTCCTCTTCAAATCCTCAAATCTCACTATATACACATTAGAATATAAGCTTCATGCTGCAGGGGCCTATCTTTGTTGTTTGTCTATCTGTTTTCTATTTCTAGAACGTTCCCTGGAACACAGGAGGCATTTCATAAATATTTCTGGAATGAAGGAAAAAAAAATATGCCTGTGCAACCAGATTGAACCAAACCAGAATTACTAGGTTGGGTTGAATGGATGAGTTACACTAGTCCTTCCGGATTGAGCGCAGCTTAAATTTATATTACCGAAGTTTATGGCTGGTTCTGCTGAAATGGTTCCCTGACAATCCCTGGCCAGTAGGGATCCTGATTCTTTGTATGGGAATCTGGACTAAGCGTAGCTCATCAGACTGGAACTCATAGTTCGGCACATTTTCTGTCTGGAGACTCGGCCACAAAGATATCGATGGTCAACCACATGCAGCCATTTTAAAGTGAAAACTAAATTCGGAGAGGCCCCCAAACAGTACCTTATGAGCATACTCCTCTGGCTTCATATTTTGAACACGGTCTATAGCTTTATACATCATTTGCTCTCGGAAGTCATTAACTGTCTCACGTTCAACAACTCCGGAGCCGCTGTGGGCAACCAGGACGTAGGTGCTTTCATCGGCTCTGGCTCGACCACGGGCCTGAGGACAGAGGGAAGTCACGTAAAAGAAAGGCTCTGCCTTGCTGAGATCTCTCCCTTTTTTGTCCTGGAATGATATTCACTGCTCAGTGTCCCAGCCTTCGAATGCTCTCTTAATTGTCAGTAACGTTAGCTATTACCCATTCTTTAGAAGTCCATTATTTGAAACTCAAAATGCACTTGATGGCAGAAACAATGTTCTTGAATGATGATGGTTAGGTCCCCACACAACCCTCAAAAGCCTCGGTAACACAATACCATCCTGTCCAGCCTTTCGGTACCCCGGGGTCCCTCTCTCAAACCCTAGGAAGCATCAGCAGTGATGTGGACTAGGGGAGCCCACACCCTCCCACCAGTGAGGATGGATGGATGGATGAGGAGAAGGGGCCTCTCTGACCTTGACACCAGGGCCTGGAGCGTGCAGCTCTCTCCTAGGACCTTACATTGGATTTTGAACACATTTCCCCATGAAAACACACTCAACATGGTGATAAACTTCCATAGCCCTCTTTATAAAGTGATATTCAGATACATTGTGAGTAACAGAAAACTGTGTGGCCTGGCCCAGGAACCTAACTATCAACTCTAATACTATACTCATGAAAAATGCATTCTGAGTAACAAACAACTAACAAATCAACTCCTGCAATAGAATTACTTCCTGATTTGGTGCCTGCCTAGTGATCTTAGTCCTCCAGGACTTGTCTTCCATTCAAGATGCAATTTAAAGTATAAAACAACCCTTTTGTTACTTTTATGGGAAGAATATTAAGCAACAACTCCTATGCTTACTCAACAAAAGGTAACAATTGTATTGTTAACATAATGTGGGCAAAAGATAAAGTAAAAGTGAATGAAAACTGGGACATTTCACTTTTTTCTCTTTAAAATTTAAACATACAGAAGTTGAAAGAATAAAAAAGGAAAATGCAGAAACAGCAGGGCTCCCTAAGGTTTCACGTGTTACTTTGTTGGACATTCGTGGGATGCTGTGCTTTAGACTCCTGGTCCAGCTGGGAGCTCACAGACATCCTGGGAATAAGAAGGCCTACTTTGATTCTTACAGATGGGGCAAGTGCCATGTTCCTAAAAAGTCTTAGGACACAGAAATAACAACCAAAGAAGAGTTGCTGTTTAAAAAGACAACAGGTATCTGGCTGTAATATGAATTAAACAATACAAAAGGCAGTAGTGCACAGCCCTTCAAAATTCCTCTCTTTTTGTTTCATTGAGGTATAATTGACATGTGTTACTTGTAGGTGTGCAACATAATGATTCGATATTTGTATACATGGTGAGATGATTTCTCTTTTCATAGGAAAACAGCTATATTTTTAAAAGCTATGTGTGCTATTTTACTAAATAGAACGACTAAAATAAAATAAGAACACAAAATTTAAAAATTAATAGAAAACAAAATTAAAAAATTAATAGATTAGAGGTATTTGAATGTACCTGGACCATGGCTATTTCATTAGTGACGAGACCATAACGAATAACGATATTGCATTCTTCAATATCCAGACCTTCTTCTGCCACTGTGGTAGCGATAAGCAGGTTTATTTTTCCTGTGCGAAATTTACTAATGACTTCTTTTTGTTCATTCTGTAGAGACATTTTAATAAATTAAATTTTGTGATGCTAACCACATTAAAATCATCTAATTAGGAGAAGAAATAATAAATTGCAACTGGTCAGTGTAAATCAAAGGATTAGATCAGACACGATTTGATGCCATCTGTTTTTGTCATTGAACAAAGACATGATGGTGAGACAACATTTGATTTCCAATATGGGATTATCACACAATAACAAAAATATTTCCATCTTCCAGTCTGGAGGTGGGGAGATCATTTATGCCAAGGAAATCAACTGATGGGCAACTTGGGAGGAAGAAAGGAAGAGATGAGGAACTTAAATGGGCTTTGCTTTTCACTACATTAACTTCAGAATCTTTAATATTCAAAGCATAGCATGCAGTGACACTTCTAAAAATGGTTGTGTCTTGAGTCATCAAGAAATACACTCTGTGCACATTTGGTCACACTAAGAGGCATTCAAGCCAGAAACGTGTGGAATATTCCTGGAGGGACACGTGAGGAACTGAAAACATTGGATGCCTGCAAAAGAGGGAGCTGGAAAACTGGAGGACAGTGATGGGCCCTGTGCCTGACTAGTTTTCAAAGAAGTAAATCTATTCTCTGTTCAAAGGGATGGCACAAATGAACATGAAAGAATAAGTTATCAAAACACAATTAAAACAATTATATTTAAGTTCAAAAATCTGAATTCTGAAAGTTAACATAAATACAGAAATTAATTATGCTTTCTGGCCCTTGCATCAGAGGAATGGGGGAGCATACACTAGCCCCATATGGCTAGCATAGTTTTATTTTCATAATCACTCCCATCAAAGCTGTGGGTCCAGTTTGCCGATGGTGCACATTCACACTATCTCTTGCCCCGATACTTTAAGCAAAAAATAAACATGTCGGACTGACAGTGTTCTCCCATCCCTTCCTTTCTTCTCAGAGGCAGTGTGTGCCTTGATCTGACTCTTAGCTGCCGTAGAATCCTGCAGAGAGCTCCCTGCCCAGTCTTCTCGGATAATTTCTCCCTCTTGCTCATATGTCTACTGATAAAAACTTACATGTCCTTGGAGTTTAACAGAAGATGTAACTTTAATAAAAAGAATTTCAGACACAGTGTTAGACAACCCCCCCAAAAAACAACAACAACAACAACAAAACCAACCATGAAGAGTTAGGCAACTCCTCTCCCAGGAAGTTCAGCCCAGTTTACAAGGTGAGGCTGTGGGGAGTGAGGAAAGGGGTGTGTGCTATATTCGCATGCAGCCCCCAAGTCCTCTGACAGTATTTAAAAAAAAAACTTACATGTCCTTGGATTTTAACAGAAGATGTAACTTTAATAAAAAGAACTTTAGACACAGTGTTAGACAACCCCCCCCCCCAAAAAAAAAAAAAAAAAAAAACATAAAAACAGGACCAAAAGTGACCAACTATAGACATATTACTTGTAAGAATTAATACAGAGGCTGTGAGACTAAACTTCAGTTTTTCCTGTAAGTCTCCTAGAATCTAAGGCAAAAAGAGAAACATATTAACTAAACTAGCTCTCATCACAAAGAAGCAAGCTCCTTACCCACAAAAACAAATGCTTTCTCTGGAATTAATTTGAGAGGCAATTTTAACATGAGTCCATCTAGAGCAGTGGTTCTCAACCTTCCTAAAGCCGCGATCCTTTAATACAGTTCCTCATGTTGCGGTGACCCCCAATTTCTTTCCATTTGCACTTCACCTTTTTTTCAAAGAGGAACTGAGGCCATATACAAAGTCATCGCACTCAAACTAATATAATAGAAACATAAAAACAGGACCAAAAGTGACCAACTATAGACGTATAACTTGTAAGAATTAATACAGAGGCTATGAGACTAAACTTCAGTTTTTCCTGTAAGACTCCTAGAATCTAAGGCAAAAAGAGAAACATTAACTAAACTAGCTCTCATCACAAAGAAGCAAGCTCCTTACCCACAAAAACAAATGCTTTCTCTGGAATTAATTTGAGAGGCAATTTTAACATGAGTCCATCTAGAGCAGTGGTTCTCAACCTTCCTAAAGCCGCGCCCCTTTAATACAGTTCCTCATGTTGTGGTGACCCCCAATTTCATTGTTACAAATCAAACATAATTAAAGCATAGTGATTAATCACAAAAACAATATGTAATTATATATGTGTTTTCCAATGGTCTTAGGCGACCCCTGTGAAAGGGTCATTTGACCCCCAAAGGGGTTGCAACCCACAGGTTGAGAACCGCTGATCTAGAGAGTATGTTAAGAGTTATAGTGGACAATTTCAAGAACTTTCTTTTCAGCAAACGCTGAAACAAATTTAATTTGCTCCATTGGACCAAATGGTGATGACCATATCAGAGTTGAAGTGCCCTGTTGTCCAGCAAGATTCGGGAATAATATGACTTTAGGAGAATATTTTACTCTAACAAGCCACATGAGTGTAACGTCTACAAGTGCCTTTTTTCTCTCCCAAGTGTTTTTTACTGTGCACATGAGAGGTAGCATAATGAAATGACAACAAAACAAAACAAAAAAAATTAAAAAGGAAAAGCTCTCATAATCCCAAATCTCTAACACATCAAATGTCTTAAAATTTTCCAAGTTCCCTTACAGATCTCATGCTATGCAAACATATTTTACATAGTTCTAATTATAATGCACATATGTTTGAGGAGACTGGATTTTTCCACTTGATAATTATATTGCAACCATTTTTTCTATCTTGTTTCTAAGTTTCAGTGTCAATCATTTTTGCAAAGGAAACTCACTTTAGAAAGTTCCTTCAAGTATGTGGATAAAAATGACTCCTAGGACAATGCTTAGCCTATCAAATACCACAGGTTAGATTGCTATGAAACTCACATTTTACTTCAAGAACAAATGCTTCATTCCATAAAATTATTTGTGGGGTGGTGAGGGAATTGATGAAAAAAAAGACAAGTAGTTTGTGAAGAGTAATGACAGTATAAGATTAGCAGTCCAAAAAGGTGTTTATACCTGTGTCATGGGCTTAAACTCACTGCTGTGTCCAGCTCCAATCAGATGGTGGGCTTTGACTCCTACTTCTGCAAATTTTTCATTTTCAGTAATCCACTGGGAAAGGGCATATGCACTCTGTCGTGTTTTTGTGAAAATTATTCCTCTTGCTGACCCCGCAGTCCTTGTATATTGTTCCATTATGGTATTTCTTAATTTGGTCAGCTTTTCATTTTCATATTGTGGGTTTTCAGCCAGTTTCTTCAACATTTTCTTGTTATCTTTAAAAATAATTAGTTTAAATTAGTAAAATATATGGTTACAGGGGAAGATTTTATGTAACGATGCACTGAGTTCAATTACAGCTAATCTTTTATCTATATCTAATAATCAGGCTACTTAATAAATGTGCCTAGCCAGCATGGCTCAGTGGTTGAGCATTGACCTATGAACCAG